GTGATCAAGATTATAGATATCTGGATCTAACTAATAATCTTAACATTAACTAATACAGATCTAGTTTTTTCAAAATCGTCATTTGTGGGATTCGAACTCTAGATCTGCCATTTGGGGGTGCAACAACTCCACCACTTCACTAAGTCACCACACCCTTAGATATATTATATTTTTGTTAGCCTTTATACAGTTTTTATTCAAAATAAAAGCATTATTATGTAGTGTTTGTATTGCTACATAAAAATCAAAAAATATTAGCTTATCAACAATTGTATAAAAATTATACAATTTTATAAATTTGTTTAATATTTATTTAATAATTATATGAAATAATTGTATAATATTTATAACAATGAAATTGTTCAATTATTTTGTTATAAGATTCGTATGAAAGGTATATAGCATTTTTGCTTTATTTTATTAGTAACTATAATAGCTACTATATTAACTAAGATATACTGAAATTATATTGTAATTATATAATAAATGAATAAGATAATTTAAAAAATATTATTGTTCATCATCAACTTCTTTGTCTACAATATAAAATAAATTTTCAATCTCAATAAACCCAACACAATGATCAATTGCAGATGCATCAATAAATGCATATACACCTAATTATTTAAATAATTTTAAACTAATATTATCTACTTCAACAAGTGATGTCTATAAGCTAACATTGCTTTAGACCTTCAAATTCATAAGTTAATAATACTCAACAGTAGTATAGAAATCTTGAACTTCAAATATTGATAGTTATTTTGGATAGTTTGCATAAATATCAACTTTAATTTTTATCATAACAGTGTAATTAATTTATGACCAATCTTTATTTTGACAAATTCATTTTAATCTAATATAATAACCATCTTTTGTTCTAAGCCATCCATATTTTATTTCTTCATAGCTAAAAAACATAAGTTGCAAACCTGATATATCTATTATAGTAGAGAAATGTTGTTTAATTTTTCTCAATTCGCTTTGCAACAGATTGTAATTGGCTAAAGGAAAATAAAAGTCTTGACTATTTTCTCTAGTATAAGCAAAGTGTTCATTATATATTTTAGGCAAAATTGGTAGAAAAATTTGATTATAAATCACTTAATTAAATTTTAAACAATTAAAAGTTTAAATTAATTGAATATTATTAGAAATATTTTTATAAGAATGAAGCCTTGATCTTGTTAGTAGAAGCAATATCCTACATACTCTTTCTATTAGATACTGCTATGTTGTATAACAAGAACCAGTTTGTAAAATGCTTTTAGATATATACAATATATAATGGGATATGTGCTATTTCACTGACAATCACTTCACAGACAACTTAGTTCACCGACAATCAATTCACAGACAAGTTCATTTCACTGACAATTATTTCACTGACAGCTCATTTCACTGACAAGTATTTTTTATAAATTACACTAACCTTAGCTCTAATTCTAATCTGATACTAACAACAATGACCAGAATTATTTTGTCGCCAAAATGTTGTCAGTGAAATAATTATCAGTGAAATGAACTTGTCGGTTAATTAATTATCGGTAAACTAAGCTGTCGGTAAAGTGATTGGTGGCAAAATGTGCACCACCCTATATAATGTATGCATATCTTCATTGTACTTAAGCACTCTGGTAATCCACAGTAGTATTTTTTTTTATAGTGAAAATAAAAAGATAATAAGTATAATTTAATTTTATTTAAATTATTATAAGTTATTATTTGCTTTTGCATAGCTGAATGGTTTTTACAAACAATTCACAATCTTTATAGTATTTTTTTGGCAATCTATTTTTAAGAAATGGTAATGAATATATTGTAATCCAATTTGACTATTCTTCAGCTTTATAGCCTTCATAATGTAAAACAACATTTCACAATAAATGGCCAAGACTTAAGAGTATTATCTTTTTAATTAATTTTATTTCTTTTTTGATTTTATCTTATGATTCTTTGGCTAAAACATATTCATCATTGTTTTGATTTTGGTTTGCAAAAAATAAACTTATCCAATGAGCAAGTATGTAACCAGCAATATTTTCATAGAATAGATGCATAATATCTACTAGAAATATCTTTGAAAAGCTAATAGAGATAAAATTAAATAGAATTCTCTTTTTAAAAGAAATTCTATAATATTTAACTGCTTGATTTCACTCTAATATCATTTGTGCATTTTGAATTTCTTGTATTTGACTTTTGTACTCCTTATGAGACCTAAGTGGTAAATTTGCTAGATCATAAGTTTTACTTCTTGATTTCTAGATAGTTTTGTAGAATAATATATATGTAAAGAATAAATATCCTTTATATTACAATAACAACATCATTTATATGAATTATGTCCTGTTAAGTCTATTAATTTGGTAAGTGCTGGTGTATTACCAGACCAAGAAAGCATATATCCATGAAGTATAAATATACTATTATACTTAATATTAGAGCATTCTACACCTTCTTCTAATTGGCACAATTCTGCAATAGCAAAAGATAAAAAAGAATTTAGATCTTTTGGTTCTTTAGGACTAGGTATGATTGTGGATATAAGAAAACTTTCTTTCTTCACACATTGCTCTAGTGGTAAGTTGGTATTTATGAATAATAAAATCTAACAATCATTTGTTTTTTTTGCTTGAAAATTTAAAAACCATCAATTAATACTAATAATGCGACATTATGTTTTTCTTTAAAATGTTCTTCTTCTTATATCACTAACCATCAAATATATCTCTAATTATTTTATTATTATAATATTCTGGTTTTGATATATATTCTGCATGATAATACAAGTTTTTTGCTTGTGATGTATTTTGATATTGAATTGTAAAAGGATCAATAATTGGAAAGTATACAAATTGTCAATGTGCTTCCTGTTGTTTGTTTTTATGAAGTTGATCTTGATACTATTTTTTTTTTTACAATATAGATATTCAATAAGACTCTATAATCATCATTATAAGCACAACAAGTATTAATACATATATATGTCTATCTATATAGGTTTAAACAAAACTAAAATAATAACTTTTTTTTAATCATATATAAGCTTATCAGTTTTGTTATTATGGCTTTCATAATTTCTCTAAAGGCTTCATTGGTAAGGTTGTTCTGTGCTTTAACTTTAAGAAGTTGAATCATTGCAGCAAGTTCAGAGGATATAAAAAAGATATTCTTTAAAATTTAATAGAAGATATAGTGCGAAACAGCAAGAGACATCCAATCTATACATATAGATGCTAATTTTTGGCGCTTATATAATCAATTCTAATTGGCTAATTTTTGAGTAATTGATTTTAATTAGTTAAAAACCTATATATATTTTCTTTTTTTTAATATTAAATGCCAATTTTTTGAACTCATATAAACTTTAATCTTTTATAACTTTTTTAAACCAAAGAATAAAAAAATCCTCTAACAAAAATATAGTTTATCTAAAAATCTATCAATTTGTTAGAGGGTTTTTTGATTTAGCTTGTTTTAAAAAAGTTATAATACTTTAAAGTTTTATTAATAGATGCTGGATATCTCTTGCTGTCCCGCACTGTATAATGTAAAAAAAAACAAATTCATAATTTTTTTGATAACAGAATAGGTATAATTATCTTCATTATCTATTAAAATTGAACTAACCATACTTGAGTTACTACTATTGCTTTCTGACTAATCCTCAAATTCATTAATTTCTGAACCATTCTTAGATTTATTAATATCTTCAAATTCATCGTATTTCATTCCATTCTCAAATTCATCACCATAGTTTAACTTATTATTAAATTTATTAACAACTTTGAATTTATTATTACAGTCTAATCTATTTTCAAATTCATTAACACCTTTGCATTCATCATCACAGTCCAACCTATTTTCAAATTCATTTTCAAATTTATTAGCATACTGTATTTAAACCCATTCTTAAGTTTATTGACATTTCCTAATCTATTATTATTTTTTAACTCTTCTTCAAATTTATTGTTATTTTTTAGATTATAAAGTTTAGGCTCAAAAGTTCTTTGGTAAAAACCATATACTGCTTGATTTTGAATATTATTTTGTAATTCTAAATTATCACTAGGGCTTTGCTCATTTCACCTATCATGTTTTCGATGCTAAGTTTTAGCACTTTTTAATTTCTAAAGGCTTCTATCTTTACTTAAAGAGCAAATATTGCAAGTACACCAATCCAAGGTTTCAAACATTATTTTTTTAATAAAATTCTATTGCAAAAATTAATAAAATATACCAATAAATTTAAATACATAATATATATAAACTATGTAATATAAATACTAACCTAATTGCTTTAAAAAAAAAAAGTTTCGATACTATATATTTAGTTTAAAACTTTGCTACTAGTTTTGTCTTCTTACAAACAGAATCACACATAGATGCTCAAGTTTCAAATGCTATATTCAATTTAGATTTAAAATAAATAATAGTTGTTATAGTAATAATCTCCTACAATCTAATTTACTTAATAATACCTTTGAACAACTTTAGTTAACATTTATTATTAGCAACAGTATATATATATGTATTGTTTTGTTGCTTTTTAAGAAATTTACTAACTACAGATTTTTTTTCTCTTTTATTTAATTTAACTTTGAAATTCTTATCAATTGATTACTTAATATATACATAAATATTAAAATAAACCTGCATTAATTCCACTTGATTTAACTAATAAGTATATTTCTTATTTGTAATCATAATTATTAGTTAAATCAGATTAAATCAGATATACATATCAGAGTTTATGCATGTAGAGTCTATTTTAATATACATATAATATTATTACTATATTTATTAATATATAAAATATATAAGTGCTTCTATAGGAAAAATGTCTTTTCAGACTTTAAATTATATTTTGACTGGATACAATCTATATAATTTATTAAGAATTATGTCCAGTCAAAATATAATTAAAAGCCTGAAGAGATATTTTTCTTTGTCAGTATTTATATAAAGTATGTATAGTATAAAATATATCATAATAAATTATATTATAGCAATAATAGTCAAAATTTAAATAAAAATAAAGAGAAAATTGTGATCAGTAAATTTCTTTCTTTAACTTAAAAGTAATAAACAAAATACTTACCTTTGCTATCAAATAATTAGTTGCAAATTTATCTCACTTGTTCTAGTTGAATTTTCTTTAGTTCTTGCTTATTTGAAATCAAGTCTCTTCTAATTCAATAGTTTTGCTTGAAGAATAAACTTTCCTATTAAAACTTGGCGAACTATTATTTAAGTTAGTTTGGTAAAGGTAGTAAGAAAAAAGTAAATATGAAATTAGATATACTTAAAAATTAAAAAAAACTACTACTATATAGATTGTGACTATCTTTTTTCTCTATAATAATAGTTCTTAATAAGAAAAAAGATATATTTGCAATTAGTCGAAATTCAATTGCAATTGATCAAAAAGAAGCAACTCGGTCTATTTCAGAATCAGAAATATATAGAAGTGAACAAAGTTCAGATAATGAAGATAAACCGTTCTTCAAAACAAAAAAAATATCAGCTTTAATTAAAAGATTAAAAATTTTGAAGAAACTTCAAACAGCTCATAATAAGGTTAAGAATCAAAAAATTAAACTCATCTCAGATAATACTGATAACAATATATCTAAGAAACAAAAAAAGAAAAAAAAATCTAAATTGAATAAGAAAAATTATAAGAATACTTCTAGTTCAGAAATAGAGAGTAGTAACAAGGATTCTATTGTATGTATTTAATAATTTTTTTTTTTTTTTTTTTTTTTTTTTTTTTTTTAAGGTGAGGCCTTGCTCGTATCTTTATTAAGTAATTTATATAAGTAATTACATAGTATTTTATGAAGAACTTAATTTGTATAATAACAAATAAAT